AGTTTGGGTGGTAGTCCCAGATTAAAATTCCCATGAGGAGGAGCAACATTAAACTTTCTGGGGATTAGAAAGTTAGCTAATAAGACTAGTTTCCAGAATCAATTGAGTGTATTTTCCTGTGTACCAAGTGGACAAAATAGCTCCTTTTGTTTTTCTTTTCTGTGTTATGAGGAAAAGAAGGAAAACTGTAATTGTCAAGGAGTCGCTGAGGCTCCATGGCTTAAAGGATTCATACTACTTTGATTATATCTCTTTTGTTTTTTAACAGCCAAGCAGGTTGAATATCTGGTGAATGAAAAGCACATCTATCTGCTGCCAAGTGGTCGGATCAACATGTGTGGCTTAACCACCAAAAACCTAGATTATGTGGCCAGCTCCATCCATGAAGCAGTCACCAAAATCCAGTGAAAAGGCACCACTGAAACCAGCACCACCAAAGCGGTCCTCTGTCGTGTGTGTTCCCTGCCTGCGCAAACCTAGTTGTATACATCATGGATTAGACTATTGTAAGACTGAAAGGCTGCTCTGGTGAGGTGGTCTCTGCTTAAATTGGCCCCACATGAAGAGAACATCCCTTGAAAAGAACGGTGGGCCTGGGATTAGAGCCCTTTTGGAGGGCAGAGCAAATTAAACTATTTAAGAAGAATAAAACGGTACTTTGATCATAAGACGTAGATATCTTTCCCGCTTTCTAGAAGTGGGAGTCTTGCCTGTGTCACTCGTGTGCTTCTATGTGTTGCTTGACTCTCTACAAAGCCTAGTCCCAAAGATCAACTTGTCTAAAGAGCCATGTGTAATTGTGGGTGTTGGCTGTGTCATTAAAACTCATCATCTCTATCTGGAGTGTCTGTCTCCCTGCTCTTTCTGCATGGTTGTGTCCCTAGCCCTAAGCTTTACTTCTTTAGGGCAGCCAAGGTACAAAACATTTTCATCGTGCACACAGTTAACTAAGACAAGTTTCACAAAATACTATGAACTCTTGCTACGTGCAGTGCATTCCTGATATTTTCTAGTCCATTCTGTTATGTTCCATTTCACTAAAGAAATAAAATAAAAGTGCTGATTGAGACTCTGGAATTGATTTTGTGACCCACTAATGGGTTGTAACCCATGGTTTAAAATGAGTGCTTTAGAGGGATGTACTAGTTCCTAAAGAAAAACTAACATCTTGCAACAGGCTTCCCTTTAGTGAGCGCACCACAGCTCTTTGCCAGTTTTCTGGGCTTGTCCTTCAGAGGCTAGCTGTCTTCTTATATTAAGACCCTGGACTTCCTGGATTCATAGAAGGGTTGACATCACTTAGGGTAATTGTGGAACACAGCCCCACCCAATGCAGTGAGTACTTCCTAGTCTGCTAGAGCCACTTGAACATAGATCACATTTTCCAGAGAGTCCAAGGGACTCTTCCCATAGTGGTTTAGTAAAATTTGAGTCTTGAGTTTGAAAATATGGAAAGATAATTCTTGTTTTTTAACAGGACCCACCCCTTTCTAGACTCTGAGTTGTTTTAAAACCCTACAGTCTTGAGGGATGATTGGGGTCTTAGAAGTCATTAACTCCAGCCTCTCTCCCAGTGCTTTGTCTCTCCCATATTGTCCCTGGCTCATCATTTACAACTGGGGGAGGGTGGATTCTTTCAGTACTTGGTGAAGCATCCCATTCTGTTGATGGAGACCTTAATTAAAGAGATAATTTACCTCGGTCCAGAATTTGATCTCCTTCAGTCCTATTCCCCTTGTCCCCTTCCTCCCTTCCTTTAAACCACACGCCAAGTCCACTGGCACTTCTAATTGACGACCTTTCATATATTTGAAGTAGCAGTTGTTATTCCTAGTTTTTGCTTTTCCATGTGAAGCTCTGCCCCACCCCCCCGCATTCTTCAGTGTTCCTCCTAATACCTTGAACTTGGAAGGCCCCCAGCAGTGCCTCATGAATCACGTGGGTTCAACAAAGAATTACCTAGTGCTGCTTTCTTGTTCTCATTCACACTCGGGCTTCTCATTTGGGTTTTATGTTCCATATCTGGCCTTTGCTCCTGCAAAATTGTACCCATCTGGCTTCCCAAAGTAGAGCACCAGCGCTTTCCTGTAACCTGAACTGCAGCCTCAGACCTGGCCCTCAGAGCCGAGCCTCTTCTGGCAGGTGTCTCCCCTCCCCTCCATGAGATAATCCCATGGGAGCTCCATCCAACCTGCATCTCGAAACATCAGAATTCTGAGATTCACGGGCAAGGAAAACAGTCACATTCCAGGAAAAGCATTTTCATTTTATTTAAAAATTATTTACAATTCATTAAGCCTTCATAAATGCTTTATTTTAAAATTAAAGTCCTCTTTTTTTTTTTTTTAACTTTTTTTAAC